TAGTACCGCCAACGAACAGGCAGTCCTTTCTCAAGCGCAGTCTTGTGCAGCCGCTTCATATGTCAAGTGCAATCTCCTGTGTCAGATCGAGATTTACGTAATTGCTACAAATTCTTCCTGGCAAGTGACAGAGGCTTCACTTTGTATCATTGCGGGACATCAAAAGCATACATGTGTTAGCAGGAAAAAACCATCTTTCTCCGCATATACCCACAGGGCAGTAGGAGCCGCGGATTGCAGAAACCTGCTGCCTTTTGAAAATGTATTTTTCATCTATACGTGTATATGTAATCCTCCAAGAACTGATGGAATCCTGCATTGGATGGCATTGAGTTCGAATTATGCACTGACATCCTAAACAACTGCCATTTTTATACTTCATAAAATATTATCCTCATCCTTTTGTATCCTCATTAGTATCCCAGTGTTGCTGATCTCCTACAGTCGCTTCCTGGCTACATGCACTCGCTTCAGCATGGGCTTCACGTCATCGCTCCGCACCGACTTCCGTGTCGCACTACATGGAACGTTTTCAGCTATGCACGTTAATTCGATAATTAGCTATTGCCATAGCAGGCAAACAAAAGCAAAACAGGGCGCACTCACATTGTGCATTAACGTGGTAAACCACGAATTTATTTAAAAAACGTATAGATGTATACTCACAAACCAAAGACAATAAAAACAGAACAGATAAATTTGTAATGTCAGTCCAATGGAATGACAGACCCTTGTTGGGATAAGTTAACGCGTTTCGGGAGACACACTCCCTTCATCAGAGCTGATAAATCCGTAATGTCAGTCCAATGGAATGACAGACCCTTGTTGGGATAAGTTAACGCGTTTCGGGAGATGTACTCCCTTCATCAGAGCTGATAAATCCGTAATGTCAGTCCAATGGAATGACAGACCCTTGTTGGGATAAGTTAACACGTTTCGGGAGACGTACTCCCTTCATCAGAGCTGATAAATCCGTAATGTCAGTCCAATGGAATGACAGACCCTTGTTGGGATAAGTTAACACGTTTCGGGAGACGTACTCCCTTCATCAGAGCTGATAAATCCGTAATGTCAGTCCAATGGAATGACAGACCCTTGTTGGGATAAGCTAACGTGTTTCGGGAGACGTAGTCCCTTCATCAGAGCTGATAAATCCGTAATGTCAGTCCAATGGAATGACAGACCCTTGTTGGGATAGGTTAACGCGTTTCGGGAGACGTACTCCCTTCATCAGAGCTGATAAATCCGTAATGTCAGTCCAATGGAATGACAGACCCTTGTTGGGATAAACAAATGCGTTTCGGAAGACGTACTCCCTTCATCAGAACTGATAAATCCGTAATGTCAGTCCAATGGAATGACAGACCCTTGTTGGGATAAGTTAATACGTTTCGGGAGACGTACTCCCTTCATCAGAGCTGATAAATCCGTAATGTCAGTCCAATGGAATGACAGACCCTTGTTGGGATAGGTTAACGCGTATCGGGAGACGTACTCCCTTCATCAGAGCTGATAAATCCGTAATGTCAGTCCAATGGAATGACAGACCCTTGTTGGGATAGGTTAACGCGTTTCGGGAGACGTACTCCCTTCATCAGAGCTGATAAATCCGTAATGTCAGTCCAATGGAATGACAGACCCTTGTTTGGATAAACAAATGCGTTTCGGAAGACGTACTCCCTTCATCAGAACTGATAAATCCGTAATGTCAGTCCAATGGAATGACAGACCCTTGTTGGGATAAGTTAATACGTTTCGGGAGACGTACTCCCTTCATCAGAGCTGATAAATCCGTAATGTCAGTCCAATGGAATGACAGACCCTTGTTGGGATAAGCTAACGTGTTTCGGGAGATGTACTCCCTTCATCAGAGCTGATAAATCCGTAATGTCAGTCCGATGGAATGACAGACCCTTGTTGGGATAAGCTAACGTGTTTCGGGAGACGTACTCCCTTCATCAGAGCTGATAAATCTGTAATGTCACTTCGATGGAATGACAGACCCTTGTTGGGATAAGTTAACGCATTTCGGGAGACTTACTCCCTTCATCAGAGTTCTGACTCTCTTCATCAGAGCTCTGTACTCCCATCATCAGAGCTCTGATGAAGGGAGTACGTCTCCTGAAACGTGTTAGCTTATCCCAGTGAATATGAACGTAGGGTGATAGGTTGCCTCGGATTTCACCAAACTGAACCTTCTGCTTGTGATGACATAACAGAGTGCAGAGACTGATATGAATACTGCAATGTTCTCTGTACTGCACTGAGGGATATGTCAGAGTTACCTAAATATATAATAATATTAGTGTGTGACTGTGGGGAAAAAAAGGGAGTGTAAGCTCCTCTGGTGCAGAGACTGATGAGACTGGCTGAGTGCTCTCTGTACAGCACTATGGTATATGTCAGACTTTATAATAATAGTGTATGACTGTAGTGGGAACATTAGACCAAACTGGGCCTGCAGTACATGCAGTATGTGTGTTGGATATATTAGAGTGTAAGCTCCTCTGATACAGAGACTGATGTGACTGTGGGGGAGGGGACGTTAGAGTTTAAGCTCCTCTGGTACAGACTGATGTGACTGGCTCAGTGTTCTCTGTACAGCACTGCGGTATATGTCAGAGCTATATAAATGTATAATAATAATAGTGTGTGACTGTGGTGGGACATTAGAGTGTAAGCTCCTTTTGTGCAGAGACGTATGTGACTGGTTCAGTGTTCTCTGTACAGCACCCCAGTATATGTCAGAGCTATATAAATGTATAATAATAGTGTGTGACTGTGGGGGAGGGGACATTAGAGTGTAAGCTCCTTTGGTGCAGAGACTGTTGTAATTGGCTCAGTGTTCTCTGTACAGCACCCCAGTATATGTCAGAGCTATATAAATGTATAATAATAATAATAATAGTGTGTGACTGTGGGGGAGGGGACATTAGAGTGTAAGCTCCTCTGGTACAGAGACTGATGGGACTGTGGGGGAGGGGACATTAGAGTGTAAGCTCCTCTGGTACAAAGACTGATGTGACTGTGGAGGAGGGGACATTAGAGTGTAGCTCCTCTGGTGCAGAGACTGATGTGACTGGCTCAGTGATCTCTGTACACTGAGCGCTGCGGTATATGTCAGAGCTATATAAATGTATAATAATAATAACATGTCACTGTGCAGGGACATTAGAGCGTAAGCTCCTTTGGTGCAGAGACTGATGTGACTGGCTCAGTGTTCTCTGTACAGCGCTGCGGTATATGTCAGAGCTATATAAATGTATAATAATAATAGTGTGTGTCTGTGGTGGGATTTTAGAGTGTAAGCTCCTCTGGTGCAGAGACTGACACTAGCGCAGAGGAACAAGTGTCAGTGCAATCTAAAATAAAATTGACACATAATAAAAGCCCCTTACAGAACAATAGCCTGCCAGGAAGGGACGACTGTCAAATCTGACACACAACTTGGCTTGGATTCATAAGAAATGTTATGTGAATGTCTTGGACTTTTTTTTTAGATGGAGCCAAAACCACGCAGCTGACTCCATACTTTCCACAGGAATGTCTCTTCCCCCCTCAGGGCAACGCCCGGACATCTGCGTAGGACCATCTTGCCTTGATTTTACCTCTGATGGCTCATGGCCTTAGAAAGGGCCTGTGCCAGATGCCCGAAAAATTCCCCAGATCTACCACAATGTAGGCTCCAACCTACACGTCTGTCCCAGAATTAGGTATTAGCCCGGTTGTGGTGATGGCTAGATATGTCATTAGCTTGTATGCATAGCCGAGAACTTTCCATAAAACCTGAGTGGATCACAAGCAGACTCCACCTGTAATGATTCAGTAGACTTGGGTGTCTACCAGTGGGACCACCAACATTGAAAGCCTGAGGAGATACTTTGCTATCTGGACACAAAGTACATTTTTTGTAATGTATTCTTACCTCTGGGTCTCAACCTACCAAAAATATGAGCACTTCACCAATTCCTGAATTATTTGAAATGAATGTTTCATATTTTTATTTTTCCTTATCCATTCATATTTTTATATACAGTTGTGCTCAAACGTTTCCCTCCCCTGGCAGAAATTGTGAAATTTTGGCATTGATATTGAAAATGACTGATCATGCCATAAAATGCTCTTTTATTGAAGGATGATGATCATATGAAGCCATTAATTATCAAATAGTTATTTGGCTCCTTTTTAAATCCTAATGATAACAGAAATCACCCAAATGGCCCGGATCAGAAGTCTCCGCCCCCTGGAATGTTTGGCCTTGGTACAGACACACAAGGTGACACACGGGTTAAAATGCCAATTAGAGGTTAATGTCCCACATCTGTGGCTTTTTAAATTGCCATTAGTGTCAGTGTATAAATAGTCAATGAGTTTGTTAGCTCTTACATGGAAGCACTGACTAGGCTAGATACTAAGCCATGGGGATCAGAAATGAACTGTCAAAAGTCCTGCGCAACAAGGTAATGGAACTTTATAAAGATGGAAAAGGACATAAAAAGATGTCCAAAGCCTTGAATATGCCAGTCATCACTTCCACTTACAAGTAGAACATTCAGGGACCTCTTGATACCAAGCCAAGTATCATTATGATTTAAAAAGGAGACAAACAAGTATTTGATAATAAATGGCTGCATATGATCCTCATCCTTCAATAAAATTCAGTTTTTTGGCATGATCAGTTATATGTTCAATATCAATGCCAAAATCTCACAATTTCTGCCAGGGTATGCAAACTTTTGAGCACAACTGTATGCTTACGCCATTTTTTAATTTTAAAAAAGTTTCTTCTCTCTTGAGATTTATATGACCTGCACCGCGCACGACTGGCAGTTAGGTTAGGATGGTTCCGGCAGCCATCTTAGTGTGTGCACAGATGGTAATAATGTTGCCTGAACCCAAACAACATTGAGGTCAATGGTTTTGAAATTCAGATGGGCTGTTTGTCACCCTGAAAGACTGCAATCCCCCTTGCCTAGCCACCATTTTTGCTTTTATAACATTAGTGGACCTTCAGATTAAAAAAAAAGACTCTGTTTGCCCGCCTCTTGACTGTGCCAAGCCACTGATTAGCCAGCCAGGATAGCCTGACCAATTGGTGGCCAGTCAGAGACTTTGCTTATTTCTGAAGGTCTAGCCTTTGGGTTAGAAGCCTATAAAGGGTCCCTGCCATACTGACTGCAGCAGTCCCCATAGTACAGGGGCAGACTGACAACTCATGGGGCCCCCGGGCAATAGGGGATCATGGGGCCCCTGTGTCCTTGCCCAAACTCAAAAAAGCCTATGAAAAAGGTACCAGGGGCATCTAATGGTGCCCCCTACTGACCCCGGGCCCTCGGGCAGTGCCCGAGTTTCCAAATGGTCAGTCCGCCCCTGCCATAGTAGTAACATTATACATCACTAAGGGGTCCCTGGACTCCTCTAGTAATGCATGAGGGTTATTAAAGTCAAACCGGGACATTTAATGTTACATGTATAAAAAGGAATGCTAGAGTGGCGGTGTCCTATTCCTGATCCGCGGCGCACATGTCGCGGGCCAGTCCAGAGACCGTTCATCAAGATGACAGTGTTAGCGCGTGCATGGAACAGCGTGTGGTGTTGACTTTCCTTGAGAACGAAGGTATAAAACCTACAGCAGTCTACAGAAGACTTCAAGCACAGTACGGTGATGAGATGTGTAAATCTTTCAGAGATGGCCGTATGTCCGTCAGTGATGATCGCAGCCATAGTGGTTCCCGGCTGTAATGGAACCGACCCCAGACTGCGCTTGGATACTTCCGTTAGACTACCGCTTCCCTATCCGAACACCAACAACAGACACCACCGCTGACCATACAAGACTAGATGACACCAATCAGTCTGAACATGGAACTCTTTATTTGAAACTGGCACACCCTGCTGATCAGACCAAAACAATTAACAACCATTCCATTCATTACAGTGGAGCCAAAAACTACATTTTCCTAGAAACCTAACTAAGAGGGTGCTACAAAAGTTTAACCCATGTCAAAAAAGCGTGACCATAGATTCGCTCTAACCACTTCCCGTCCAGCCCATGTATATAAACGGCCGGACGGGGGCAGTGCAGGGGCGGGTTGCCGCTCATAAACGGTGCCCGCCATTTTGGACTGTGCGCGCTCCAGGAGGACACAGCGGAACACCGATCACTGTACGCAACCTCTGTGTGAGGTCTCGATCATGTGATCACTGATTGGCCAATCAGTGATCACCTGAATAGTAGTAAGCAAGATGTCACTTCTGACATCATTGCTTACTACGTGTGAAATCTGTGAATGATCACAGAGATCACATGGTGCAAGGCTATTCACAACAGCCTTGTACCATGTGACAAGCTGTGACCAATCACAGCTCTCACAGTATTTCTCAATGGCTGCAAGAATGCAGCCAGAGAGAAGGAGACATGATTGCTTTTACAGCCTTCCTGAGTGTGAAAGCAATCAGTATACAAAAAAAAAAAAAAAAATCTTCATCACCCCCCACAAGTAGTATATATAGTCACCATGGTGACACTGTACTGCTAGGGTGACAGTATGTTAAAAAAAAAACATAGATAATAATATAAAAAATTAAATAAGTAAAAAAAATTTTTTAAACATTTTTTATTTTTGGTTATAAACTAATCTGGGCTTTTTTTTTACTAAATAGATAACGAATAAATTTTGACCAAGATTTATGAAGAAAGATTATTTATTTGCAAAATTGTATAAGAAAAACACTTTTTTTTTTCAAAATTTTTGGATGTTTTCATTTATATAGCAAAAAAAATAAAAATCCCAGCAGTGAATAAATACCATCAAAATAAAGGTTTATCTGTCTAAAAAAAAAATGCTAAAAAATTCATATGGGTTCAGTGTTGCATGACCGCACAATTATCATTCAAAGTGTGACAGAGCTGAAAATTGGCCTGGACAGGAAGGGGGTGAAAGTGTCTGGACTGGAAGGGGGTGAAAGTGTCCGGACTGGAAGGAGGGTGAAAGTGTCCGGACTGGAAGGGGGGTGAAAGTGTCCGGACTGGAAGGGGGTGAAAGTGTCCGGACTGGAAGGGGGGGAAAGTGTCCGGACAGGAAGGGGGTGAAAGTGTCCGGACTGGAAGGGGGGTGAAAGTGTCCAGAGTGGAAGGGGGGGAAAGTTTCCGGACTGGAAGGGGGTGAAAGTGTCCGGACTGGAAGGGGGTGAAAGTGTCCGGACTGGAAGGGGGTGAAAGTGTCCGGACTGGAAGGGGGTGAAAGTGTCCGGACTGGAAGGGGGGTGAAAGTGTCCGGACTGGAAGGGGGTGAAAGTGACCGGACTGGAATGGGGGGAAAGTGTCTGGACTGGAAGGAGGGGAAAGTGTCCGGACTGGAAGGGGGGGGAAAGTGTCCGGACTGGAAGGGGGTGAAAGTGTCCGGACTGGAAGGGGGTGAAAGTGTCCGGACTGGAAGGGGGGGAAAGTATCTGGACATGAAGTGGTTAAGCCCCGGTTAAGGCTGAAACACAACAGAATGGAGTGTCTCTGCCACGTGCTTGAATAAAGTTATGTGAAGACGGAGAGTGGGGGCGGGCTGACAACTCATGGGGCCCCTGGGCAATAGGAATTCATGGGGCCCCTGTGTCCTCGCCCACACTCAAACCACACCAAAAAAAAAAACCTAAGAAAGATACCAGGGGCATCTCATGGGTCCCCGTACTGACCCGGGCCCTCTGGCAGTGCCCGAGTGGCTAAATGGTCAGTCCACCCCTGGTGGCGCGTTATGTAATGTTTCATTTTTTCGGCAGTTGCTTTACAATGCCTGTGAATCACAAGAATGTCAGAATTACAAATATTTCACTTGCAGCGATTCACGTATGGGTATGTCACACTCATGGCTCACCATTAACTATGGAGACAATGAAAATGCTAAAGATATTGCACACAAGTATAAAAGACGATTGGTAAAAAAATAAAAAATGAGGCTTTGAACTGTTGGCTCTGAGATAAAACACTGTAGATGTATTCTTCATGAACCACGGGATAAAGACATATCAATCCATATTGACAGGTGCACTTAAAAGCGATATTCTTAGCTGATCGGGAAGGAAATGTGACAATGAAAGCCTCCTAACAGCCCCCCGGGGGGGATCTGCCTTCAATGCGGCCATCGAGGACAGTCAATCGCTGGATGAGTTTGTTTCATTCTCTCGGCAGATGTCCAATAACTGCCATCATTAAGTTGTTGTCCCCTCGCAGGTCCCCTGAAGATCACTGCCTAATCTCAGAATTGGGAAAAACTCCCTTCTGATACATTGTTATACAAAGTATCTGTTAGGAGAAAAGATCTAAAGCAGATCTAAAAGATCTAAATGTATTTCTGAAGCAGAATGCCAACAAACAGGCCAAAGTCAGAGAGAATTCGTGGCTGGATTCAATTTGCCGGAGCATCCACCGGTGATGATGATGATGGTGATGATGAAGGCAACTGAATGTAACGTAAAACAAGAGCGGCCGTTGTATGGGCAATGCCAGCCTAAAGTGGGAACAGGTGACATAAATGAGATACTTTAGGGTCTGATTGTATCCTCATAGCGTGCCAGCCAGCATTTCAGAATCTCAGATTTGAAACCTTGAACGGAACAGGTGAAGACAGAAATAAAGGAGCTGCCAATGCTGATATTTCCGAAGGTCTATGAATGCTGATTATTTAGGGTTATTTAGGGTGAAAGAAGTTTTACAACATATAGCTAAAGCAGTTCATGTATATCAAAGCCAAAAAGTGTCCTGAATTTATACATCACCAACGCACTATGTTGGCAAGTTGATTTTTGAACCATTTTTCCTTTATTATTGACATGCGTTGCCCGGTTCATGTAGCCAGTTATAGACCGGGGCGGGCGCCATGTTTTATTTTACTGTTGTTTTTTAAGGTGAGTGGGTGCACTGGGCGCCCTGGCTGCCATTGTGCTACATGCTGGGTGTCCTTTGCACTCCTGTACCTTTAAGAGGGGTGGGCTCTCTTCATTTGCACCTGCCCCTGGTCTATCCTTTAAATACATGTGCCTCTACTATGGGGACTCTCAAATTTGTAAAGTTAGGACCCCAGAATATCAGGGTGCCGTGATGTGGCTCTGTGGCTTACGTAGGTATTTGCAAATGTGTGCTAACTAAACCCCTGTTTTTAACGCATACTGTTAGACAGGTTAATTTGGTTATTGGCAAGCTGGCTGGCGAGCACGGGCGGACTGACAACTCATGGGGCCCCCGGGCAATAGGGGATCATGGGGCCCCTGTGTCCTTGTCCAAACTCAAAAAAGCCTATGAAAAAGGTACCAGGGGCAACTCATAGGGCCCCCTACTGACCCCTGGGCCTTGGGCAGTGCCTAAGTTTCCAAATGGTCAGTCCGCCCCTGCTGGAGAGTTGATTTTTGAACTATTTTTCCTTTATTACTGACTATGCAGAGCTGTACAGAGAACATGGAGCCATTCACATCAGACTCTGCACCAGAGGAGCTTACACTCTATTGTCCCACCCACAGTCACACACTATTATTATTATTATACATTTATATAGCTCTGACATATACTGCAGTGCTGTACAGAGAACACTGAGCCAGTCACATCAGTCTCTGCGCCAAAGGAGCTTACAATCTAATGCCTCCTCCCCCACAGTCACACACTATTATTATACATTTATATAGCTCTGACATATACCACAGCGCTGCACAGAGAACACTGAGAAAGTCTCTGTACCAGAGGAGCTTACATTTATATAGCTCTGACATATACTGAAGAGCTGTACAGAGAACACGGAGCCAATCGCATCAGTCTCTGCACCAGAGGAGCTTACACTCTAATGTCTCCTCCCTTACAGTCACATACTATTATAATTATATATTTATATAGCTCTGACATATACCGCAGTGCTGTACAGAGAACACTGAGCCATTCCCATCAGTCTCTGCGCCAAAGGAGCTTACACTCTAATGCCCCCTCCCCCACGGTCACACACTATTATTATTATATATTTGTATAGCTCTGACATATACCGCAGCGCTGTACAGAGAACACTGAGCCATTCACATCAGTCTCTGCGCCAGAGGAGCTTACACTCTAATGTCCCCTCCCCCACAGTCACACTGTTATTATTATACATTTATATACAGCTGTGCTCAAAAGTTTTCATACCCTGGCAGAAATTGTGAAATATTGGCATTGATGTTGATCATGGCAAAAAATGCTCTTTTATTGAAGGATGATGATCATATGATCCGGTTTCCTCCCACACTCTAAAGACAT